AAAAAAAAAAAGTGATGGAAGACATCATCAATGGTGCTATCAAACAGCACTTTCACAGCAATACCCTTCTCACCGACATTCAGTTTACATTCTACTCAGCTCCTGACTTCATTACAGCCTTAGATCAAACATGGACAAAAGGCCGAATTCTAGGAGGTAAGGTACGACCCTTGACATCAAGGCTGTATTTGATAGAGTGCGGTGAAAAGGAACCCTAGCAACAGTAATCAGGGGAAACTCCTCACCCGTTTGAGTCATAGCTAACACATACGAAGATGGTTGTGGTTGTTGGACATCTGTCATCTCACCTCAAGAACACCTGTGCAAGAGTTCCTCAGGTTAGTGTCCTCAGCCCAACCATCTTTGCTCTTGACCTTCCATCCATCATAAGGTCAGAAATGATAATTGTTCACTGACAACTGTACCATGTTCACAAAATGCATGATTCCTTAGATACTAAAGCAATCCAGGTCCAAATGCAGGAAGACTTGGATAATATCCATGCTTTGGCTGGCAAGTGTCCAGTAACTTCTGTGTCGTACAAGTACTTTGCAAATGACCACCTCCAACAATTCTGAGGAAGGGTCTAGACCCGAAACGTCAGCTTTCCTGCTCCTCTGATGCTGCTTGGCCTGCTGTGTTCATCCAGCTCTACACCTTGTTATATCAGCTTCTCCAGCATCAGCAGTTCCTACTATCTCTGTTTAAAGCAAATATTCTTTAGTTAGTGCATTAATAATTAAGGCATAAAATTTTTAAAAAGCATGACTATTTCCACTGCCAAAAACATGCAAATATCAAACCTTTGCAGTTCCAAGAAGCTCTTGAACATTGGATGAATGAAACGATCCGAAGTCCCTTCTGGCAGAGGTCACTAACTCAAAAAAAAAGACTTTAATTATTAAAATGTACAGAGATGTAAAAACTTGGATAACTGTTACATTGTATTAACTGCTTATTTATTCTACTGTTCAAAATCTGGCTATGTTTAATGCACCAATCAAGAGGAATAAAACTGATGGGAGTACAGAGATAGTAGGAACTGCAGATGCTGGAGAATCCGAGACAACAAGGTGCAGGGCTGGATGAACACAGCAGGCCAAGCAGCATCATAGGAGCAGAGAGGCTTGCAGTTGGGATAAAGTGGAGAAGGTACAGCTAAGATACAAGCAATAAGTGGAACTGGGATAAAGCAATGAGCGTAAAGTTGGGATAAAGCGATGAGAGTGGAGCTGGGATAAAGCATTGACAACTGGAGCTGTGAAAAAGAGGTGAAAATTAAGCTAGGTGTATTAGCGAAAATGGAGTTCATATAAAGTGGCAGGAGTGGAACTAGGAATAACCAAGGTCTAGAATACGAGCATTTTAGCAACCCTGTGGCTAACATCTTCGCAGGGAGACTCGCTAGTCTTGTTGAGAAGGATTTGAACCATTGTTTTCTTGCTTATCATTGTTTTATCGCATGAAATGTTCTTAGATCAAAGAATCATGATGTAAAATCTGTTTTGGTGGAGTTAAAAAACTGAAAGGGGCTGCAAATATTGGTTGGAGCTATTTATTAGTGAAGTAATGTTGTACACAATATAAATTGGGAAATCAGATGCATGTGCATCATACAGTAATAATGGCTTCCTTCAATTTACACATACACTTAGTTAACCAAATCAGCAAATAATGCTGTGGGGGAATTCCTGCTTTTTTTTTAAGATTCATTTTTAGAGTAAGACACTGAACAGCCAAGTATGGATTGGGCTACTTTGTATTTAGTGTTGTGCAATGAGAAAGGACTAATTAATAATCTTGCTGTAAGAAGCCTTTAGGAAATAGTGATGATAATATGACAGAATTTTACATTAATATTGAATGTGATATAGTTCTTTTTGAATCTAGGGTCTTTAACATGAAGAAATGAAATAATGAAAGTATAAAAGATATGTTTGCTATGGTGGTTTGGAAAAATACACAGAGATTTGATGGTAGACAGGCAATGATTAGTATTTTAAAAAACAATTACATGGTCTGCAACAAACATATATTCGTTGGGTTGGTATGGGTGGCTGCTCTTGAATAACGCTACTGGGCCCTCTTGATTGATAGCTGCCCCTATGGACTTCACTGCGGATTAGTCCACTACGACTTTCAAACATGTTCCAGGGTTGCTGCTTGTGCTGTGTGTTTGGTGTGAACGCTCCTGCCATATTTTACAGGTGTAGCTTTCTCCTGCTCTTAATTTGTACGTTTGTATGAAAATCTCTCCATGACCTCATCATTCCTCATCTCTGCAAAATTCTTCCAGGCCCATAACTCTGACATATCTGCCTCTTCAAATTCTAGTCTCTTGAGCATCCTACATTTTGGTCACCCCACCACTGGTGTCTGTGTATTCAATTGCCAAAGTCCCAAATTCTGGAATTCTCTCCCTGAGTTTCTCTGCCTATTCTGTTTTAAGGTACTCCTTAAATTGTAGCTCTCTGTCCAAGCTTCTAGTTATCTGTCCTGATGTCTCCTTATGTAATTCAGTGTCAAATTTTCCATAATATGCCTGTACGATACCATGGAACCTTTCATTACATTAAAGGCACTATATAATTACAAGCTGTTCCTCTTGCTGCAAACAAACAAATGAACATCACATTTGAAGATTATAATATCCATCTTCACTGGTGTCAATTCAGATATAATCTAAAAAACAAAAATGTTTTAAAAAACTTTCAACAGCACTTTAATTAAATAGATGTTAAAAGTTCTTTACAATGTCTTCATTGTCTTGCGGAGTCCTAGACAAGTTCAAAGGGCTAACCTTCTATGTTAGATCAGTTCCCAGAAACATGCAGGAAAAAGTTACAAAAATTCAATTCAATATATGAATGCAGCCGTTCAGAAAGCATTAAACCCCTCCTTCTCAGGGTACACTTTGTCCTTGTAAAAATCAGACAATTATGGAAATAGTTTCCTGGGAACCAATTATTCCAAGCATGGTTGGCAACATTTAATTGTATTCAAAGAACATTCCAGGGCAAAAATCCATGAAGGCAGTTGGGATGCACTTCAGTGCTCGTTGAAGATGAATAAATAAAGGCCTATTTACAAAAAGACTGTGAGCAAAACACTCCAAGTCTCTCAAATCTACAATACTGGTGGTCAACTTACATAGCAATTAATGCAAGCATATGTATATATTTATACTAATACACTGTGGGTAAAGGGCTTCATTGGTTCTAAAGTACTTTGGGATAACCTGAGGTCATGAAAGGTGCTATAGGAATGCAACTTTTTCTTTAATACAAATGCAAAGTCTATCTCAAATCCTTTGTGTGATACTCTAAATCCATCTGAAACTGTTTCAATCACCACTACTGCCAGTGACAGAAACATAGCCATCATTGTTCAGGCGTACAGCAACATGGAAACAAGAGTAGGCCATTCAGCCCATCAAGTCTGCTCTGCCATTCAACATTATCATGGCTGAATGAACACTTCAATACCTTTTACCTACACTTACCATATGATACTTCACATTATTGATAATCAAACACGTATCAAACTCGACTTTAAATATACTCAACGACTGTACTTCCACGGCTCTCAGAGAGAGACAGAGAATTCCAAAGATTCACCAAACTCAGAAGAATTTCTCCTCATTTCAGTGCTAAATGGCATCCCTATATCTTAAATTATATGCCCTGGTTCCAAACTCCTCAACCAGGGAAAACATTTTGCCTGCATCTACCCTATCTATCCCGTTAAGTATTTTTTAAGTTTCAATGACATCACTTCTCATTCTTCAAACCATGTGAGAACAGAAGTCCAGTTTACCCAGTCTCTTTTCAAAAGGATAGTTTTGCCATCCCAGGCACCTTAGTTACACGTCCTCTCTGGAAATAATTTCTTTCCTGACATAAAGACACCAAAATTGCACACAGTACTCAGGCTCAGTTAATCCAAGCTCCTGTACAAGACATCATCACACCCATTCTCAAATAAAGTCATAGAGATGTACAGCATGGAAACAGACCCTACGGTCCAACTTGTCCATGCCAACCACATATTCTAAATAAACCTAGTCCCATTTGCCAGTATCTGGCCCACATCCCTCTAAACTCTTCTTATTCATATAAATATCTAGAGGCCTTTTAAATATTGTAATTGTACCAGCCTCTACCATTTCCTCTGGCAGATCATTCCATACATGCACCACCCTCTTTGTGAAGAAGTTGCCCCTTAGGTCCCTTTTAAATCTTTCCCCTCTTACCTTAAACCTTTGCCCTCTAGTTTTGGACTCCTCCACCCTGAGGAAAAGACTTTGTCTATTTATCCTATCCAAGCCCCTCATGATTTTATAAACCTCTCAAAGGTCACCTCTCAGCTTCCAATGCTCCAGGGAAAATAGCCTCAGTCTATTCAGCCTCTCCCTCTAGCTCAAACTCTCCAACCCTAGCACCATCCTTGTATATCTTTCCTGAACCCTTTCAAGTTTCACAACATTCTTCCTGTAACAGGGACACCAGAATTGCACGCAATATTCCAAAAGTGGCCGAACAAATGTCCTATACAGGCACAACATGACCTCCCAACTCCTATACTCAATGCACTGAGCAATAAAGGCAAGCATACCAAACGCCTTCTTCAGTATCCTGTTTACCTGGGACTCCACTTTCAAGGAACTATGAACCTGCACTCCAAAGTCTCTTTGTTCAGCAACGCTCCCCAGGACCTTAGCCTTAAATGTATAAGTACTCCCCTGATTGGCCTTTCCAAAAAGCAGCACCTCACATTTATCTAAATTAAACTTCATCGGTCCATTGGACCATCTGATCAAGATCCATTGTACCGAGGTAACCTTCTTCACTGTCCACTACACCTTCAATTTTGGTCTCATCTGCAAACTTGCAAACCATATCTCCTATGTTCACCTCCAAATCACTTACATAAATAACGAAAAACAGTAGTCGATCCTTGTGGCCACCAATCCGAAAAGCAACCCTCCACCACCATTATCTGTCTTCTACCTTCGAGCCAGTTCTGTATCCAAATAGCTAGTTTTCTAAGGTTTTGGAGTAGATTTGTAGCTCGGGTTGTGGGTGTTGAGGTTGGTTGGCTCGCTGAGCTGGTTTCTTGTTTCGCAAACATTTCGTTACCATGCTTGATAATATCCTCAGTGCAGCCTCCGATGAAGCGTCGGTTTGTTTTCCCGCCTGGTTTTTAAACTCTGGGGTCCATTGAGATGGATTGTCTCACTTCCAGTTTTCCTTCGTAGTGGAATGTAAATGGGGTCGAGTTCAATGTGTTTATTAATAGCATGCTTCGTGGAGTGCCATGCTTCTAGGAATTCGCGTGCCTGTCTCTGCCTAGCCTGTCCCAGGATGATATATTTACAAGCAAACATACGAGCAAATCAATGGGACACCCATGGGATCACCTATCTCTGGACTCATAGCAGAAGCAGTGATACAAAGACTAGAAAGGACTGCCCTTCCGCAAATCCAACCAAAACTGTGGATACACTACGTAGACGACACCTCTGTCATCATTAAACGGACCAAATTCGAAGAGACACAAACTCATAAACAACACCCTCACCGGAATAAAATTCACCAGAGAGGAGGAGAAGAACAAACAGCTCCCATTCCTGGACATCATGGTAGAGCGCAAGACAAATGGGGAACTGCAAACGAAAGTACACCGTAAAGCCACACACACAGACCAGGTATTGAACTTCAACAGTAACCATCCCAGCACACACCAACGACGCTGCGTGCGAACACTATTTAAAAGGGCAACAACACACTGCAGCAACATGGAACTCCGCCAAGAAGAAGGATACCTCTTCCAGGTTTTCAAGGATAATGGATATCCAAAGAATTGGGTCAGAAG